CAATCTCATCAGTATCTTCCTGGGCCACAAACCATGGCTTCTGCTTTTCTACCTCTAAATCTTTCTCCATCCTTTTCTCTCGCTCATGTGTAAGTCCCCTACCCCCACTCTTCTTATATGGCACTCCACTCCAATGCCGTTCCTCTGGCAAATTCCTAGGCGTCATTTTTGACTCCAAACTGACCTGGCGAGACCATATTCTACACATTAAAGAAAAAGCTCTCCGCCGCCTTCGAATTTTAAAAACTCTATCCCATATATCATGGGGCTCAGATCACAAAACTCTTCTTCATCTTCATGTTACTTTGATCCTCTCCACTCTTGATTATGGATGCCATATCTACTCCTCTGCCTCAACTTCTCTCCTTGCCCATCTTGACACAATCCATCACTGTGGTCTTCGCTTAGCACTAGACGCCTTCCGCTCCTCTCCAGTTGAGAGCCTGTATACTGAATCAGGCATACCATCTCTCTCTCTCCGATGTTATGTTCGTTTCCACCAACTTCCCCTTACTAAACTAACTATCCCACAATCCCTACTTCCTACCTTAGCTTCATCTCCACGCTTACCTACTCCTTTCTCCACTCGCATGGATACCCTCCTCTCCCATTCCCCTTTCCCCCATCTCCAACCTCTCCCGTTCTCTGTCCATTCCGTCCCTCCATGGCTTATACCTCACCCCCATATTTGCTCTTCTGTCTTCCCCGACCCACCAAAATCAAATATTCCTCCTACTGTCCTTCTCATCCATTTCCTTGACCATGTCTCCACCCATTCCTCTAGTATACACGTATATACTGATGGCTCCAAATCCACCTCGGGTGCTGGTTTTGCAGTAATATTCCCAAAACGTACTTTCAAATACTCCCTTCCTCCTGAATCCAGTGTCCTTACTACAGAACTGTATGCACTCCTTTTTGCCCTAAAACACATATACTCACTCTCCTCTTCCTCTTTTACAATTTTTACTGACTCCTGTAGCTCATTAACTCTCATAAAGTCAATACACAGCACCAACCCCCTTGTTTGTAAGATCCAGAACTGGTTGTTCTACCTGTCCACACGCCATAAAACAATCAAATTTTGCTGGGTGCCCAGCCATGTTGGAATCCCCGGCAATGAACGGCAGATACACTAGCACGCCACGCTGCTATGTCCACATCATACCAACCACGCTTCTCACGTATCCCAGCCACGGATTATTACCCACACTTTAAGACCTTCTTGTATAAGCGATGACAATCTTTTTGGTCAAGCCTCCACACTAATAAATTACATTCTGTAAAACTATCAATCTCCTCCTGGTCAGCTCCATTTCATCGGAACAGACGTTGGGAGACCGCTCTCGCCCGCTTACGCATTGGCCACACCCGTCTAACACACTCCTATCTGATGTCACAATCTGATCCACCCCTATGTTCCTTATGTAATGTTCCCCTTTCAATCGTACACATCCTATTGTCGTGCCCACCTTTTGAAGCAGCCCTTACCTCTGCTTTCCCCCACCTATCCTGCCTGTCTCGTCTTTTCTTTAATTTACGAAATTAATTTGCATTATCTTATTTTGCTGTTACTAATGTTTATAACAAGATAGTAATTATAATGATTATAATAAAAATAACCATCGATATTCATAGCACTAGTAAAAATACATTTTCCCGCCAAATGAAATCAGGTAAAGCAGAGCCATCTAGTGTAGAGAAATTTCATTAAAAAATTCCACCCGGCGTGAAAAAAAATTTACCCGGCGCGAATGGGTTAACTATAGTGCTACATGACCTTAGATGTCTAGCACATTTATCTTGCTTTTAACCATTAACCATTAACCATTCTAAATTATCCCCTGTGTGCAAGGAATGGCAGGGGTTACCATCCACTGGTGGCGAGGGATTCGAACGCAGGTCAGCAAGATTGCTAAACGAGATCGCTACCGCTGCACCACACAGCATATATATATATATTGTTTATATCATACAAATATTGTATATATATATATATTATATTTATTATGTATATATATATTATATTTATTATATATATATATAATATTATATTTATTATATATATATATTATATTTATTATATATATATTTATTATATATATATTATATTTATTATATCCCCTTGCCGCCGGGTGACGGCGATACGCGTGTAAACAAATCGCTCGAAAGGTGGCGTGCGGCCAAACCAGCCGGCGGCGCGCCAAAGCGCGGCGAGCCAGTGATTCGGGCTGACGCCCCGTACTCCTGCGCTCAAAGTCGGCGCGCTGCCTTTGTTTGCCAGAGCGTAGAGTTTTATTTTCCTTTAGTACACCCGGCGTCATTGGGATATATATATATATATATTATATTTATATATATATATATATTATATTTATTATATATATATATCATATTTATTATATATATATATATTACATTTATTATATATATATATATTACATTTATTATATATATATATATATATATTACATTTATTATATATATATATATTATATATATATATATTACTTTTAATATGTATATATATACATATATATATATATATATATATATTATATATATATATACATATATATATATATACATATATATATATATATATATATATATATATATATATATATATGTATATACATATATATATATATATATATATGTATATACATATATATATATATATATATATATATATATATATATATATATGTATATCATATTTATTATATATATATATATATATATATATATATATATTACATTAATATGTATATATATACATATATATATATATATATATATATATGTATATACATATATATATATATATATATATATATATATATATATATATATATAGATAGATAGATAGATATTTGTATGTACAGTAATTCCCCAACTTATGGACATAATGGGGACCGAGAGGCTGTTCGGAAGTCGATTTGACAGTATGTCGAAAGTCGGGTCTCCATTGCCTTTTTTCCCATTGTTTTAAAGTTTTGTTTACATTGGGAATACCTGTACATAAATCCCAATAAGTACGCCATACCTTATACAGTACCTGTAATATGTAATGCTTTTAATATTATTTGATGGTGATTCATACAACTTTAATGTAGAAACATAATTTATTCAAAAAGAAAATATATTAGTAGTGGTTTGGCCTCCGCGTACAGCCGCAGCCGCACGGCACTTTTCGTCCGGTTTCTTTTCACACCTAGCGGCGTCACCCGTCGTGAAAGGGTTCATATTATTTGATGGTTATTTATACAACTTTAGAAACATAATTAATTCAAAAAGAAAATATAATGTAGTGGCGACTGGCTGGCGAACCGATTGATAAGATCCATAAAGTTATAGCCTGACATTTCTTGGCAACTTCACTGGCTTCACCGTTTATCTTTCTCTTCACACCCGACATTTTTGCAGGATTGATGCACCGATAAAGCGAATTATGGCACAAAAAATGTCGGTACAAGGACATAGTGAAGGATAAGGATAAGTCCGATTTGCGAAGCTGAGCCTCGCCCGGGCTATGGGGGAACCCGGCCTGTGCCGACTAATGTCGACTCGCTATCAGTGTGTCAGCAGATGCTGACTCGGGTGAGCTTAGTCCTTACCCACCGTGGTGCCCAGCCACAGCGGTAACCTCCAGGCGACAATTGCAACTTCTCGCGCCTGGGCGGGGCGCGAACCGCCGACCCCACGGATGAGAGGCCGACACGTTACCACTGTACTAGCCCGGAGGCTGACATAGTGAAGAGATACTTTCGTGTTTATAGCCGGAGGGCTGGGGAGTGATGCCCACAGCTGAGTGAGCCGGCAGCGCGGCGGCGTGGCAGACTCGTGAACTATATTCGCGCCCGGGAAATTAAAAGTTTGCTAGCATCTTTCAAACATTTTTTTGGACTCAAGTATTAAAAAAAAAAACGTTTGTATGTACGGAATGTTCGTAAGTAGAATGTTCTTAAGTCGGGGATTATCTATCTATCTATCTACACACACACACACACACACACACACACACACACACACACACACACACACACACACACACACACACACACACACACACCATGTATTATATGCCCGCGTGGCTCCCATTCCATGCTGCCCAGCAGAGCGCCCCACGCTAGTTTACCCAAGCGACGCTGCTCTCTTCGGATATAAGGAACCGCATTTGACCGATCGCAAGCCTCCGGGCTAGTACAGTGGTAACGTGCCGGCCTTTCATTTCGAGGGGTCGGCGGTTCGCGCCCCGCCCAAGCGCGAGAAGTTGCAATTGTCGCTTGGAGGTTACTGCGTTGGCTGGGCACCACGGTGGGTAAGGACTAAGCTCATCCGAGTCAGCACCTGCTGACACACTGTTAGTGATTCGACATTAGTCGGCACAGGCTGGGCTCCCCCATAGCCCGGGCGAGGCTCAGCTTTGCATATCGGACTTATCCTTACCGATCACAAGAGTCAGTCGCCAGCGCCTGCCAGCGTCACGTCAGTTCACCCCGCGGTACCTTTGGCCCGTTGGGCTGGGGCCGCACAGTGACCTTAGGCGACCCCGCGCTTAACCCAAGTCTTGTCTCATTGTGTTTATACATATAACTGCGTGCTAACTCTTACAGAATAAATAGAGTCAAGCCACCAATCTTTTACTGTCCTGTTATCAATGTATAAGAGGTCAAAAACACCCTTTACAATATATATATATATATATGTATAAATATATATATATATATATATATATATATATATATATATATATATATATATATATATATATATATATAGGTATTTGTGTGTGTGTGTGTGTGTGTGTGTGTGTGTGTGTGTGTGTGTGTGTGTGTGTGTGTGTGTGTGTGTGTGTGTGTGTGTGTGTGTGTTAATGTATATATGTGAATCCATCTTTGAGTAAAGATTATCTATAAATGGCATGCTTTCTTGGTATCACATCACCATTGGGTTAATAATAGAAATAATTTGTGAACTTATTTCTTGCAGATTGAAGTTGTTTAGCAGCTTATTGCACTGCTATATCATGAGTGATTTTGATATTAGTGGCTCTGATTCTGAGCCTGTCTCAGACATCAACCCAGAGGAGATGGCTAAGTTAATGGCAGTAAGTAGTTACTTTGTCTGTATTTTCTTTTCTTAAAATTTATTGATAGAAAAAGTTATTGATTTAATCCTTTTTCCCCTGTTGGACCCATTATTTGGTTAAAAGTATAAACCGTTAAACACATTTGATATGAAAAATGCTAAATGAACATTTTGCTTAAACAAATCACCAGCTTTTTCAGAAGGGATTCATGAATTTTGTTCCTTGATAACAAAAATATACCAAAAAATGCTAAATCTTGTACCGGTATCCCCAAAACAAATTAGTGTGACACAAGTAGCCCCATGCTATCTTGATGAAAATTCTAGCTGGCAACTTCTTTTATTATATAAAGAATAGGATGATGATGATTTATTTTTAGCATTTTTCAAACATTGTTATTACTGAACCATTTTCAAAGAAAGTGCACTGAAAAAACCTTGAAATACTGTATATCTTGACCGATCAAATTGTTATATATTCCTTGCCAAAGACTATTCATGCACATATCATAATGCTTTGATCAGAAATCAGAAATAGAAACATGATATTTTTGATAAGTATCGCAATATTTATGTTGACAAATGTATGAAAGGAATAAAGAATTTTTTTTTTTTTTTCAAAATGCAAGAGATGTATTTGACCAGTTTTAATTAAATCTTCGTCAGAAATACATGTATTTCTGACGACAATATAATTGAAACTGATTAAATGCATCTCTTGTATTGTGAAAATATTCATTCTCATTTGTATCTTTTATGCTTTTATAGTAACTTGTCAAAAGCTAAAATTAGGAAGTCTATTTCAGGTATATTTTTAAGAACTGAAGATGATTTGTGTTAAAAAAAATGGAATTGATGAACTTTTTACCAGGATTTAGGTGATATCGATGATGTTTTTAAAAGTTCTGAAAAGCCTCCTGCAAAGATCAAGCTTACGGCTGAAAAGGAAATGACCAGAGATGAAGGCCAACGGGTCACATTTGATAAGAAGCAGCCAGAAGAGGATGATGGTTATTATTTACTTCATTGCTCATATTTCCTTGCAATACTGATAAATCCAGTGCACTTGTGTCATACTGTGCTTATTGGAATAGTTTATTGTGATGATTATGAGTACTTTCTAACTTTCCTTACAGTTGTCCAATTATTATGAATAATGTTTTTCAATTGCCAGATTGGGATGCTGATGATCTCTTGCAGTCTGATGATGATATTCCAAAAATGAAAACACAGAAATCTAAATCTCCAGGTAGAGTTTGATGTTTTCATCAAATAAAAAGTAGTGAAGATTTGTTTTTATTATTGCTGAGTAAGTTACTAGCCTTTTAAAAAAAAATATATCTGTACTAAGATAGAGTTATTCAATGTGTGCATGATGAAGAGAGAGATTTCTTTTACTTCTCTAACATACTTGAATGATAGAATGTAGAATATAAATGTTTAAAAAAGAAGGTAAAGTGAATACTGTTTATGTGCATATATCATTTATTATTGAAATTTGTATTTTAGGTAAGCATATTAAGTCAGCCAGTCCTGAAAGCAAAATTACTCGCAGTGATGGCAAAGATAGAAGAAACTTAACCAAAACCAAGCTAATGGCTGACTTATTTACTGGGAATTCTGAGGATAAAATAGAAATACCAGCAAAGAGTAGATCAGAACTGTCTTCTGCATCTGATGTAGGACCAGCAAAGAAAGATAAGAGCAAGCTCATGGCAGAGCTATTCGGAAGTAATGATGCTGCAATAGAAGAAAGTTCTCACATTAGACAGAATATAAAAAAATCAAAAGATGAGGTCACTTTTGATGATGATGATGATTTATTTAGTGGTTTTGGGGAGTCCAAAAAAAAAAACAAAGGCTGTTTCTGACTCTCCAAAAGGTAAAGGTTTCCTTGACAGCTTATTGGCAAAAAGTAATGCCTCAGATAATAAACAAACAGATAAGAAAAAATCTTCAGAATTTATTTTGGATGATAAATACAAAAATATGAGTAAAGCAAAGAAAAAAGAACAAGAAAGTTTTGGGGATTACATGCCATCTGCTGGAAAACCTGATAGTCCTCTGAGAAGGACACCAAAGAAGGCACCTGCCAGTGACCCTTTTGATATTTTTGGTGATAAAGAACCAAGAAGACCCAAAGCAAGATCAGCTCAGAGAAAGACTTTAGAATCAGATGATGGTATAAAAGGGAATATGCAGAGTAAGAAAGGACCAAGTAGACAGTTGGAGAAGGAAAAAGGGGACAAAAAATGAAAGTGATTTAAATAAAGGAGATGCAGATAGTTCATTTAAGCAGTTACAGTCAGAAAGTCAGAGAAAAGATGTTGAAGGTGGTGGTAAAAGTGACTGGCTGTTTGATGGTTTGGAAAGTGAAACGCATCAAATGAAGAAGGCAGAAACAGC